TTTTATCCACATTATAAAAGAAAAAGAATACCCACCTTTCGCTTTTATATGTTGGTAGTTTTGTCTACCAATTCTAACGTTATTATTACCAAGTGAATCGTTAGGAATTGATTTCCTGTAATAATAATATTATTGATTATTAATAGTATTTTGTAATTATATGTGATTTGTAATTACATAATTTGTAATTATATGTAAACTCAGATTTTTTTTATTTAAGAAATGATCATTATGTCGCAAAGAAGTCTAGGCGAGTGAGACAACGTTAAATATTATTATGTCATCGCGTTTAGACTATTTAACCTTTGCAAGTATTTATTAAATAATATCTGTAAAAACAGCATGGCGCCAAATGCCAATGTTTTTACGAGAAATTAATACTTTTGGTTTGTTATACCACAGATATAAGAAATCTTGTATCTTATATCTTTATGATAGCTCTAACTGGAGAACCATTCACAACACGCAAATTTCATCACAAAAGTTAAGATCTGCGTATTGTTATCTACAATGGTCCTGTTCTCCCTTGAAAATAACGCAAATATCAATTGCTGCTAGAGTTGCCTTTCTAAACTAGTTTAGAAGGGGTTTTTCATAGTGTCTAAACTGATTTCAAATAATTTTTTAAATGAATTTTGAAAGGCAACTCTAATTGCAGCATTACTATTCTTTCACATTCTATATCATCACCATATAAAAACGTATATAAATAAGCACAGAATAAAAATATTACCTTCACTCCGTTTAATAACTTTAAAAATTCCTTGGAGTTCACCTTTTCCTCTTGGAGACGAATTTCGATAAGCATTATGTATAATTCTTTTTTAGTGTCCAACGCGAACTTCATTACGCGTTTTTTAGTATTAAGATATTTTAAAAAGTTTTTAAAATTCCAATCTTCACAACAAGAAAGGTATTTATTTGCTTCTCTGAATAAAATTTTCTCGCTACCACTAAGCTCATCGCCAGATAATTTTAAAGGATAATTTTGTTTTTTTGGCATTATTTTAAAGAAAAT